GATCTCCCCCGCAGATAAAAGCGGTCTGTAACCTTCTGTTCGCCAAGATACACCTCCTAGCGGGTACAAAGGGCAGTTTTTAACCCTATCTAGACCGGGCTTTTTTTGAGCTTGGTGGACGGGGGGGGGGTTCATTTGACCCCCCTCAGAACTCGAGAAAGGTATGTCAGTAGTATAGGAGGGACGGGACGACTAACATTTTTGGGGAGGTGTGGGGAGGTCGAGGGGAGGCTGAGGGAAGACGTGGGAATCGGGGAGGCGTGAGAACTGGGGAGGAGTGAGGACTGGGGAGGAGTGAGGAAATGATTTGATGAGCCGCTAATCTACTTGGGGAGGCGCTCGCTGGGGAGGCGTGGGAATGGGGTCACTGCACAATTAACGTCTTACCACTGCAATAAGAAGAATCACTATCAAATAGCCAACATGCATACACCGTTCAACGTAATTGACAACCATACCTTTATATTGTCTCAAAGCAGGACTAAAGAAAAACGACAGAGTACTAGGATGCATGTTTTGTACACTTTATTTGCCGTAATGATTTGTGCTTTAATCAAAGGACGGCGCTCTCCAAGACGGATCTCTGCAAAGACAAGAAACGTTCAAGAGATCAGTCAAAGGTGAAATAAACTCGTCTTAAAACTGACCTAATTAGGCGACAACACGACAAGCTGTCGGGTGTCTGGGAAATCTACAGATAGATGTTGACAAATACAGTTGTTATCGGCAAAAAGGAGAGTAAAATTCGCCATGAAATGGTATGAAAGGCTTTTTCTATCTATCAGAAGGGCTGTGGAATAGGGCGGTATCCTTTCTAGCCTACTAATCGCTATTTAATAAGTGTCAATTGGTCAAATAATCCTTTTATTGCTCCTTCCGGCTCTGCCCGTGAAGCGTGGCAGACGCGCGACTACAGCTCAACGTGTGACAGGAAGTCACGGAAGTTGATATTTAAACAATGCTACCATGCGTAATTTGACCTTTGCACTTAAATTCCGCCCATCGGCTCGGGTGCGTAAAGAAATTTATGACTTAAACGATCTAAACTACGGAGCTTAACAATTTGGACACACTCTAAACAGACTTACTGCGCGGTGAGTCAAACCTAAAGGCGGTCAAACTTACCTGACTAATATTCTCATATACATATACGTATAGCCAGCGTAGTTAGTTTGGTAGAGACTAGACATTTGCTACGACTCGTGTATAAAGACACAGATCGATCGTAAGAATGGAGAATGCTATCAATGACTCCGTTATTTACTAACCTTTAGACGTTTAGTGCCTTGGATGTTTTCTTGGAGGCTCATCCTCCATGGGTCCGCCAGACCTTTTCGCCGCTGTCGGAGTAGTATAGGAGTCGGTGGCGCCCCACTGGTCATGGAACTCGGCCTCTCCCCACGCGGACAAAGGAACATTGGCCAATGTTCGCATCACTTCCGCCGCGTCGACGGGAAGGGTGGACGGGGAGAGGTTCACATCCATCATGACAGGCGAAGCCTGCGGAGGGGCCGTGTCGATGTGGTGATCTGGGTACACCTGCTGGGCGTATTCATGCGCGTACATCTGTTGGTCATAGTAGGGCCCATAGTAGTCCATGGCGGCGGCATAGCCTGACCATGGGTACTGCTGCTGGGCGTACGCAGCGGCGTACACCTGTCGGTCGTCGTAGGCGTTCCAGTAGGCTGGAACTGGAACATGTTGATAATCGTAGACTTGCACGGTCGGTGCAACAAAGACGGGGTTGTCTGGTGGTGGCGGAGTTGATGTCGGAGTGACCGGTGACCATCCCCCATCCATCACCGCGGGCACGACGTTTGGTGGTGGTACAGCCGCGTCGGACTGGGGAGTCGCCGGAGGAGTGGGTGGTGTCCACTCCACAAAAGGCTGCTGATCCATATTCTCGTCTAAGATAGAGAAGAGATAAACTAAGGCGTCAAAACTAAGAACACAGAAGTAAAATAGAAAAGAACACAAATTTTGAAAACCACACACACACACACAAACAAATACATATGGCGATGTCTAGAAGTACATACCGACAAAAACGTCATCAAACAGAGCCAACAAATCGTCGTCGTAGTAGTCATCAAAAAGAGCCAACAAATCGTCGTAGTAGTCGAGATCTATCACGTCTATCATCTCATGGTCGAAGCTATCGTTGGACTCCATTTTCGTGACCAGTTACAACTTCTGTAGCGCGGGTTTGTGCGGCGAGCAAGACCGCCCGTATATATTCACACCGACTCCGGTGTGTTATGCGGAACAACCTAATAACTGGCTCCAATACAGCTTGGACCGTCACAACAAAAACTTTTGGAAACACAAACAAAGATGGCAGAAATGAGACAAAGATTGTATTTGTCAAGTCATTAGCGGTACATCTTTGCGACGGGAACGTAACCGTCGTGTTTCTGTGTGGTCTCTCGGTTATTGGGGTTGTTTATTTACTAAAACACTAGGAGGTAAGGTTCCGAATCCTCATTTACTATAAACGAAACGTTGCGAATAGACAAACAGAATGCAGTCTTCGGAGACTTTACCACAGCGAAATGTTTGGAACTACAAGAGAGACCTTCTCAGACTAACAGCGAAAAGAATACCGGCACGCTCGCAGAAAGATGAAAAGAGCCCCAAAAGCGACAGCCAGCGACGAACCAACACGAACCGTAGGAACGTGTGGGATTACATAGAAAGATTGCTGACCCCTTCCTAAGATAACGCGCCTTGTCAACGTTTGACCTACCCATAGAGGTAAGTCTATGACTATTTTGAAGGTATACTTAAAGTGTCTGTAATGTCAAAGTATGTTATTTCGTTAAAACGAAACTTGTTCCAACAATGTATGGATTGTCTTTGTTGAGTACGACATGGTTCAGGTGTGCAAACAATTGCAAGTAGATAGTGGTGTGTCATAATCGAATCAAACAAATTTCATATCCTCTTTTGGTATTGTGCGCACTTTCCCACGACAAAACACGGTTCAGGTGTGTAAATAATTGCAAGGTGATAGTGGTGTCATAAACGAATAAAATAAATTTCATATATCCTCTTTTGATAACGTGCCTACTTTCCCACGACGAAAAGACGGTTCAGGTGTGTAAACAATTGCAAGGAGAAAGTGGTGTGTCATAAACGAATAAAACAAACTTTATATCGTCTGTTGTAAAAATACGACATAAAAACAGACCGTTTCAACGACATACAATCAGAAACGGCTTCGCTCTTTACAAGAGGTTGTCGTGTTGACCCCACGCAAGGAGGTAAGTGTGTTTGTATTTCCCAAGTCCAAGAGTGTGCGCGGTCTTTAGTTTACATTTGTATCAATTTACTATTGAACATTGACGGTTTTTTTCTCTCGCTATTCCTTGTAGAAAACCATGGTATTCTCCTGCGACCTGTGTACAAAAGTTTTCAAAACGGCACATACCCGAACCCGACATATCAGAACGGTACACGACGACGCTCGATCGGGGCACAAATGCAATATCTGCGGAGTGACGTTTTCGCGAACAGATAACTTGAGACGCCATGAACTGCAACACACATCAAATGTTCCCATACACACATGTGAATCATGCGGGAAAGCATTTGGGCGACGAGAACACCTCAACCGTCATAGGCGGACAGTCCACGCGGTACGACCACTAAACATACACGAAACGACTACGGCCGTAAACGCGCGCCATTCCACATCGCAAAGTGAAACCAGACTGCACGAAGGGGAACGCGAAAGACCGGCTAAGAAAGCAAGACTTGACCCCACACCCAGACCACAACATATCACCGTAGAAGATCAACAGGATGGATCTGAAGATCCGGAGTTGGCCGAACTGTACACCGAAAAATGGTCAACCATACGAACCCAATCCTTTAGAGGAAAAGTTTTAAACACGTACAATTTTCAATTGAACTCTACGACGATAGACGAGCTGACACCAGAAGTATGGGCCATCTTCCAAGAACAGAAAACAGCCTTCAAAATAAACGTGTCGTTTGGTTTCATCATGAGAAACAACGAATCAGGAGAACTAAGATATTTTTACCCGAGTGTAAACAATCACTGCTTTCTAGAGAAACCGATATTAGTGGAAAACGAGAACGGAATCAAAAGCTTCTTGGATAAGTTGGAAACGATCGACATTCTGGAACACGCAAGACAGCAGAGACCCGATTCTAAATGGGTCGTCTGTAAAGTTACGAATGCAACATTTTACGTCAGCAAATTGACAGAACATCCGATAGGCGCGCCCGGGTTTCTACCTGACTATATAGTTAACAGCAAGACCATTGTCACCATGCAAAGCGGACCCCACGGTCCCTACACGGATAACTTGTGCTTCTTTCGTTGTCTCGCAACGCACAAGGGTGAGGACAAAACCCGACTCGAGACGACCACCAAATCACTGCTCGAGACGTACCTATCTTTCGTCGGAAAGACACGACAGACGTTCAAAGGTGTGACAATAAATGGACTTCACCAAGCGGAACAGCTCTTTGGGGTCAATATATACGTCTATAGCCTAAACCAAGACACGACCGATCAAAGCGCATTCGCCGAACTTATTAGACGACCGCTGACTTCACACGAAGACACCATGTACCTGAACTTGTACGAAGGACATTTCAGTTATATAACCGACTTTAAAAATTACGCAAAGTCGTGGGCGTGTTCAAAATGTGGAAAGAAATGGACACATCAAGGGCACCTTCACAGACACGAGGCAAATTGCACCGGGGCTATAAACTATGTCTATCCAGGTGGAGCTTTCAAAGTGGCGCCGACCATCTTTGAAAAATTGCAAGACGAAGGAATCGTGATTCCAGAAAGCGATCGATATTATCCATACAGGGCGACTTATGACATAGAATGTCTGCTGAAACCGGTATCGGGTCAACAAACGATGAAAATGGTGTGGGAAGCAGTTCACGAGTTACTTAGCGTGAGTGTCTGTTCGAACGTGCCGGGATTCACGGAGCCCAAGTGTTTCGTGTCAGACGGAAATGGTGTCACGGTCGTACAGGAATTCATGTCATATCTTGTACAGGTCAGTGTTTCGGCATACCAGCTGTTGAGAAACAAGTTTGAGTGGGTCTTCGCAACAATGACAGAGAAAAGACAACGGGACATTGAAAGGATGGAGGAAGAAGATCAGGAACATAACGAAACGGGGCAGGAGGACGAGCGCGAGAAAAGAATGAAGAAACACTACCTGACCCAGTTGATGGAAGAATTAGAACGCCATCTGAAAGAGTTGCCAGTAATCGGTTCCAACGCCGGAAAGTATGATATTAATGCGATGAAGAAATTTTTCCTCCCGGTCCTCCTCCAAAATCAAACCAAACTTAAGACCATAAAAAGAAACAACGTCTACATGGCAATAGGAACGGAGGAATTCAAGTTTCTAGACCTGGTTAATTACGTGGCGCCCGGGTTTTCATACAGCCATCTCCTCAAAGCGTACGAGTGTGCGGAAACAAAAGGACATTTCCCGTAAGTACGACATTTCCCTAGTAGTACTATTCACTATTTCAGTTACAGATGCTTTGTTGTTGTGTGCACAATGGCCAGATTTCTGTAGTGGACATAACGACAATTACATGTTGGTACAGGAAGTCTGATTGGTTTGTCTTTCTCTTAACTAGAGGTGCAGTGTGTGCGCACGTGCCAGGTTTCCGTAGTGGGCATAACGACAATAGACCTCATTCCAGATACATGATTCTATTCTCGCGAGAGCGCATCCTTGGCGTGACCGCGCGTGACCTCGCACGAAAACGAGACCGCCGTTGGGTCACTCCCGGTCAGGTTTCCCATTGAGGCGGCCTAACAATGGAGTCTTCCACAGTCGATAGCGATACTCCAACTTCAACGGTGAGTTTTGCCCGTCCAGTGTAAAATATTGTCGGAAGTACGGCTTTCACGGGTAGAGAATGTTGTTGTGGGCATGTGGGATCGATTTCGGTGGGTAGAAATGCATGTTTCTTCCGATTTTGAACAGTTTGGACGGGCGGCATTGTAGCGTATGTGATGCACTTTGTTTACATGCTACGTACGCAGCAAACTCATATAATATGGAGAAAAATATCGAGCTTAGCCGGGTATATAGCCACAAAAACCTAAAAATGTTGGCCCTGGAGTCTTGTGGGTGGAAATTTATGGAGTGTTCGGCGATTTCTCCGTAGATTTATCGATTATAGCGTCTAATGTCCGGCCGTACGTAGAGTGAAACTTTCGTAACTTGGGGAGGGGGCGGTTGTTATTCTAACGTCCCCCGTTTATTATTATTATTTGTCGATGGGACTTTACTAGAATAGAACGGTAGAAAAACATAACTTACCTTTGTGAGATCCTGTTGGGTAGAAATACGTCTCTTGAACGAAATTTTGGCGGTCGCCCTGAAGATTCATCGATTACAACGTCAAAGCGCCCAGCCAGGTTTTTAGTCACTCACGCAGTGTTGGAGAGGCGGGGCATGTGTTTTTCTAAACGTCCTACGTTTTGGGAGACGGGGATTTTCCAATGTTTACAATATTATAAGAACATCATAAACAGTGTCTGGATGAGATCCTGGCTTCGGGTGGTTCATGTTCTCATTTCTTTATTCATATCTATGTCTTTGTCTAAAACCTTAAACTTTACTCACAAATAATATTCTTCTTATTAATCCGGCATTGCTAAAAAAATATAACTGTTAATGAAAATTTCCATATTGTATGATTCCAGGTGCAGCACCCGTCCTTCACTCCTGGGTGAAGCAGAAACCAGAGAGACCAGCTCCAAAGAAGAGATGTTCTCCCACCAAGAAAAAGAAAGGAGCTTGTGGACTTAACAAAGTAAATGTTGCATGTCAACTACAATGTACATAGTTTGAATTTTATTCCATAAAGTTTTGTATCAGTAATGTCCGCATAATTTTCTTTTTGGATGCTAATAAAAACATACTTGAATTGCTTCACATGGTATTTTACTTCTTGTAAAGAACACTTCATATTGTTGCACTCAAACATTGTCATTGCATTTTTGACTGACTTTACAGATTGATGAACCTGAGGACTCCTCCGCTTGTTGTTCGGATCCTGGTCTCGACACCAACATGGCTATACTTCAACCTGACCTGGCAACATCCCCATCACCGACTGCACTGCCATCACAGACCACATCTTCACCATGCTTACCTGACAAACTTTTTACCACCACTTGTACAGAACTACTGAAACTGTCATGTTTATTGAAGTGGCATTGTATTTACATGTGTCTGAAGGTTACAAGAACATGTACATGTTTTTTCACAAATAAAAAAAATGATGAGAAGCAACTTCAAGGAAGTGTTCCTAACTTACATGTATTTTGGAATTTTGGGTACTCTCATGTATGTAATCTACTCATACATGATCTAGTGAAAAAATGAATCATGGCTACATGTTTCAATGAGAAGCAAATGGTGGAAAACCAACTTAAACTATACATGGTTTATTAGGAATGAATTAAATAGTGTTACTGAACTGTTTTCAGTTTCTGATACATGTACATACTGTTAACACACATCTGTTTCCTAGTACATGTACTAGTAGTAGCTCTTTCCTTTTGTACTCAATAAACACTACATTGTATTTACACTACAACAGTATTTGTGCCTGATAAAATCAATCAACAATAGGATCATACTAAAACCTTTTGGCAACAACCAAATAATACATCTTTGACAACATGAGTGGGGCAAAGACCATGTGATAGGTAGATGTCCTAGCGGCACTGTTTCTATGGTCCTGTGTTGTGCTTTGCAGACTTGAATTTCTTTTCCCTCTTCAGGCAGGTAGTGTTTGTCTGAAAAGAGTTTTAAAAAATGTTAAAATTTTAGACAAAGACATATAATAAAGAAATGAGAACATGAACCACCCGAAGCCAGGATCTCATCCAGACACTGTTTATGATGTTCTTATAATATTGTAAACATTGGAAAATCCCCGTCTCCCAAAACGTAGGACGTTTAGAAAAACACATGCCCCGCCTCTCCCACACTGCGTGAGTGACTAAAAACCTGGCTGGGCGCTTTGACGTTGTAATCGATGAATCTTCAGGGCGACCGCCAAAATTTCGTTCAAGAGACGTATTTCTACCCAACAGGATCTCACAAAGGTAAGTTATGTTTTTCTACCGTTCTATTCTAGTAAAGTTCCATCGACAAATAATAATAATAAACGGGGGACGTTAGAATAACAACCGCCCCCCTCCCCAAGTTACGAAAGTTTCACTCTACGTACGGCCGGACATTAGACGCTATAATCGATAAATCTACGGAGAAATCGCCGAATACTCCATAAATTTCCACCCACAAGACTCCAGGGCCAACATTTTTAGGTTTTTGTGGCAATATATCCGGCTAAATTCGATATTTTTCGAAGTTAGCTGCGTACGTAGAATGTAAACAAAGTGCATCACATACGCTACAATGCCGCCCGTCCAAACTGTTCAAAATCGGAAGAAACATGCATTTCTACCCGCCAAAATCGATCCCACATGCCCACAACAACATTCTCTACCCGTGAAAGCCGTACTTCCGACAATATTTTACACTGGACGGGCAAAACTCACCGTTGAAGTTGGAGCACCGCTATCGACTGTGTTAGAACGTACTACAGGGAATCCGCGACCACACGGCGGTCTCGTTTTCGTGCGAGGTCACGCGCGCTCACGCCAAGGATGTGCTCTCGCGAGAATAGAATCAATATGGCGACTGTATCTGGAATGAGGTCTATTACATGTTGGTACAGGAAGTCTGATTGGTTTGTCATTCTCTTAACTAGAGGTGCAGTGTGTGCGCACGTGCCAGGTTTCCGTAGTGGGCATAACGACAATTACATGTTGGTACAGGGAGACTGATTATTTGTTGATTATCCAACAATTATGTGCTAGGTACGAGTGGATGGACTCGCTGGATAAGCTAGAGCAAGCAGAGCTGCCTCCTGTCACCGCGTTTTACAGCAAGCTGAAGGGAGAGGGGATTTCCGAAGAAGACTATCGCTCCTGTCAGACCGTCTGGGCCGAACACAACATGCAGACCATGAAAGACTTCCTAATATGGTAAGTACTACAAACCGTCTTGTCGGGTCTTTTGAGACCCTCGCCGTTTCTGCATGCGTACTCGCAAGCTTTGGATCGATAATTGACCGTCTTCCTTTCTCGTTCCTTCGCAGGTACAACAACAAAGACGTTGAACCCATGCTGGAAGCCGTGCAGAAGATGTTCGACTTCTATCGAGAGAAAAGAATCGACATGTTCAAGCACGGTATCAGCGTGCCAGGTATAACTTTGAAATATTTGTTTAAGAACCTAGACAACACGTATTTCACTCTGGCAGACAACGAGGATGTATACAAGCTTTTTAAGGACAATATTGTGGGGGGCCCCAGCATCATATTCCATAGGTACCACCAGAAAGGTGTGACGTACATCCGGGAACAGGAGATGAGGGCTAAAGGTCGAGTTCCGAAACTTTGTCAGAAGGTGATTGGCTATGACGCCAACGCTCTTTATTTATGGTCTTTACAACAACCGATGCCTACTGGGGGATATATACGGCGCGTAGAAGAGAATGGCTTTAAGAAGATGTATTCCGAAACGCCAACAGGCCGACTGTGTGCTCAGTGGTTGGAATACGAATCGCAAAAACGAGGGATAGCCATTCGCCATAAGTACAATAACACCGAAAAACGCGTTGGTTTTCGAAGGATTCCGGTCGATGGGTTTATCTCAGAGACTGGCCAAATTTTCCAATTTCACGGTTGTTATTGGCACGGCCACAACTGCAGTCTAAACAGGGGCGCCACCTACAACAAAAACAATGGCAAGCTCATGATTGAATTGTATCTGGAAACGTTACAAACGACACGTTATCTGCGGGACGAGGGTTTCGAGGTGATTGAAATGTGGGAGTGTCATTGGCGAAAGTTACAAAAAACAGCGCAGGTGTCTGAGGTTTTGTCTCAGTTCAAGACGCCCACCGAACACAAGTATCAAATGTCCGAACAAGAAATCCTCCAGGCTGTCCGTTCGGGTGACTTATTTGGCACTCTGGAAGCTGACATCGCGGTTCCTTGGTATCTAAAGGAACACTTTCAGGAAATGCCTCCTATCTTCAAAAATTGTGAAATTTCTATTCAAGATATTGGAGAGTATATGAAACAGTATGCCGACGCTAACAAGATCATGTCGCAACCGAGACGCTCGCTTATTGGAAGTTTGTTTGGGCAAAAGATTCTGTTGGCTACGCCATTGTTACAATGGTACATGGAACACGGTTTGGTAGTCACTCGCGTCTACCAGGTAATCGAGTACAAACCCAAAGCATGCTTCAAGCCCTTTGGCGATGTGGTTAGCGACGCCCGTCGTCAAGGTGACAAAGACAGTAGTAAAAAGATTATTGCCGAGACCATGAAACTCCTTGGGAACAGTGCGTACGGCAAAACCGTCACGAACAAAGAAAAACAAATCGATGTCGAGTATTGCAACAACGCGGTAACGGCCACGCGAAAAATCAATTCACCGCGTTTTCGGCAGATTTCGGAAGTCACAGACGACTTCTACGAAGTGCAATCGTCCAAGGGTACCATCACATTTGACCTCCCGCATCAAATTGGGTTTATGGTATACCAATATGCGAAACTACGCATGCTTCAGTTCTATTTTGACTTTGTGCGAAAGTTCGTTGACCTTTCGGACTTTCAATATTGCGAGATGGATACTGACTCGGCCTACATAGCCATCTCCGCGGACAGGCTGGAGGATGTAATCAAACCTAACATGCGCGAAGTTTACGAAGATGAAAAACACCTCTGGTTTCCCCGCACGGAAGACCGCGAACAGGCGGCTTACGACAAACGAACCCCAGGATTGTTCAAAGAGGAATGGTCTGGGGATGCAATTGTCGGCTTGTGTTCTAAGACATATTATTGTTTTGGTGGAGATGGTAAAACAAAGGACAAGTTCAGCTGCAAGGGTGTTAGCAAGAAAGGCAATAACATCACTTTCCAAAAGTACCTCGACGTTCTACAGACCCAGAAAAGTGGTCAGGGCGTCAACAGGGGCTTCCGCGTGAGGGATAATCAGATGTTCACGTACACACAGACCCGCGACGCGTTTTCTTATTTCTACCCCAAACGTAAAGTTCTACAAGACGGCGTAACCACTGTCCCCTTAGACATTTAGACATTCAGAGGATAGATTGTTATACCAACTTGTCTTTGTAATTTTTTACAGTACTCTTAATTCGTCGCTGTGGTTGTAAATATGTTACAGCTTATCTGATTGTCCATACAATGTACATATAGCATCTCTGTATGATTGAGAACGAATACAACACGTTGTAGAAGAGAACTATTTGTCACGAGTTGTCAATGTGTGAATGTGCGTGTGCATGTGTCCTGTTGTCGAGAGTAGAACGACGGTATAAATGTTGCTGCTGAAAATATGCGACGTCATTTGCAACTATGGATCCAAGAATCGTTCACCCAGCGAGGTTGATTCTATCTGGTTCGAGTGGGTCCGGGAAGTCATACTTTGCTCAGAAACTAGTAACGGCGGGGAGTGATTGGATAAACCCGGGTCCGTTCGAACACGTGGTGTGGTGTTATTCCGAGTTTCAGGAAAACCTTCACCGCGAGCTGAGTACAAAATTGGGTCCAAATGTCCAATTCATAGAGGGGCTTCCCCAGAGTTGGTCTGATGTAACTAAACCGGGATGCCGTAACGCCATCGTCATCGATGACCAGATGACAGCGGTGGCTCGCTCTGAGAAGGTCACGACATTATTTACCCGCGCTAGCCGTCATAGAAGTATATCGGTCATACTGTTGGTCCAAAATCTCTTCTACCAAGGCCTGAGAACCATCAGCCTGAATTCCAGCTATATCGTCCTGTTTAAGTCGCCTAGGGATCAAAGTATGGTGGTCACGTTAGCCAAGCAAATGTTCCCTGGACATAGCAAATTTCTTCGAGAGTGTTACGAAGATGCCGTGAACAAGACGACGTACGGACATCTCTTCCTTGACCTACATCCAGAATCACCTCAAGAACTACGCGTGAGAACCGACATGCTGACGCCTCGCCCCTACGTGTATCTAAGAAAGTGATAAAACTCAGTATTCTCCACGTCGAAATCTCATTTTGCCTCGAGATGTCGAAACGACTACACCGTCACGCCGACTGTCTCCGGGTGCTGAGTAAGGCCAACCCCAAGCTGCGAAAAGCCATTCTGTCGTCTGCTCCTAACGATCTCCTTAAATCGATTTGTGACTGTTCACACAACATCTTGAAGGGAAACGTCCGCCTCACACCCACCCAGAAGAAAGGTCTGTCTCGGCACAAGTCTACTCTCCGTCAACTTGGGATTCCTCTGTCTAGAAAGAGACAAACGCTGATCCAAAAGGGTGGTTTTCTGTCTCTGTTGCTGAACCCCATCGTCTCGGCCATAAGTTCACTGTTCGGTGGAGGGAAGTGATTTCCCACCGACATCATGGAATACAGTAAAAAAATGGCGCTGGTTCCCCAAGAGTTACTCTCTACGATCCAAGCCAAACAACAAGAACAGGTGTCCCCCCTGGTCAACACCGCCGTGGGTCTAGACGAACAAATGAGAGATGTCTTAGACAGACCCGATTTACCGGATGATATTAAGGCGACCATGTATCAGCAACTCTTGCAGCGCTATTTGGCGTATAGGGATAAGCGTCGCACGGAGCCAGTCACGGTCAGAGTGCTGACGTCATCCAGTGCGAAAACTACCACAGACACCGACGTCAAGGATTCGGCGTCTCCAAGTACCCTCTCCACCGACGGTAAAGAAGAACAGAACATACTGGATGCCTTTCCCAAGACGCTGAAATCTCGTGCACAACAGATACTCAACATCATCAAGCACAAGGGAGGTGACGTCATCAGTTATGACGACCAGGGACAACTACTCTTCAACAAACAGGTCGTACCGGGCTCAAACGTGGCTGACTTGATTAGAGACGCGTTACAGAGGAGACGTGGTTTCAACCCCGTCGGGTGGCAATCCTTTGCCAGAGGACTGGCACGCATAAACGCACCCGAGGCCGCTATCCGACACCCGGCGCGACTGTCCGTGATTCAACGTCACAAGAGCCGTGTAGCCAAGGGTGAGGAACTTTCGGACTCGGATGACATCCCAACACCCACCCCTCCACGACGTCGTGCTCCTAAACGACTTCAAGCAAATAAGCCAAAAGCTCTCATCGCGAAGCCTACCTCTGCTACCAAACAGACTTTCAAGGAAAATTCGTGGAAGTGATATCGTTAACAAATAAAGTTCTCTGTGATTTCGAACACAGGTTGAGATGTGAAATTCACGAGTTATTCTCTATATTTTTTTCTTGATCTCTTTGCATGTTTGTGTGCGTGTGTGCGTGTGTATGTGTGTGTAAGAACGTAGCCTGAGTCATCAACTTATGCAGGGTTTAATAACCTTTATTTGTCACTCGTTTATTTTAAAACTATAAGGTTGGTGATACACACACATGTCAACCGTCACTTACTTAATTTCTATCAAAGTCTTCTAACGCCCTAGCGATTTGCCGCATGACGTGGTCGACGTCCACTACCGGAGCATCGATATCGAAATGTCGCTCTATAAACTGCGCTACTGATACATCGTTAAGTTCTAAATTGTCACTAAACATATCAACTATACTACTCAACGAAATGTTCCGACATCTGTGTAAGAGGTAAAATAGACAATGCTGACCACAAGTGGTCGAAAATCTAGCTTGTATCCTACGTTCGTTGCAAATCCATGGAAGGCGGGTATTTCTACTCAAAAATCTTTCTATGTTTCGAGGATAAACACTCGGTGCACGTCCATAAGAGTCGAAAAATTCGCCTCGCCCATCCTCGTCGAAGTAGATGGCCAACCAGTGCTGGCCCGGCTTATCACTTGGGTCACTGTTTACGATGAAAACGCTCGGGAATTCCGGTACACGTATCGGTAGCTTGTTGGAAGCAAAGACTCCGCGCACGTAAGGGGCCGTTTTCTTGTCGCTTCGCAAGACGGTGTACAGCTGTCTCGTGTCCATCTCTCTAGTTGCTGTAGTCGAAGCTGACGTTCCTCTGCCTGTTTATTTCCAGCAGGTTGTCAAACTCTGCAAAGACCACTGCGACCACCGTTTGCTCCAGAGCCTGGGCAAAGTGTAGCTCCAGCCTGAGGTTTCCCTGTCTGATCACGTTAAAGTGGTCTCCTCCTAACCCACACAGGTCTGGGCTGAGGTCGTAACAGAAGAGCGTGTACCCCTTATCGAAGTCGTCTCTGGCGATCTGGTTGCCACAGTCCTGGCCTTGTTTTCCAGTCGTCCCAAAGAGATTCACGTAACTTCTGATGTACTGCCCCTGCTCAAAGTTGGGTGTCAGCGCCTTGTGAGGAACCTCCCGTCCGTCGACACAGAGACTGATATGGTTTAGGTTAAAGTGTTGGAAATTGTAGGGATTGGTTCCGTACGAACCCTGAAAGGCGGCGTTGTCCACCAGACCAATGACGACGCGTTTGGGGACCTGACCCAGGAACAGGTTGTCGTTGGACACCGTGTGGTTTCCTTGTGGAATGGTGAAGGGTTTCACTTGAATCCTCCTGAGAGGGTACTTGGCCGTCTCCTTGTTGAGTCGACTTTCGATGGACAGCTGGTAGGTGGGTAGCAGATTGACCTTCCTTAGAAACACGGCAGCCTCGGTGATGACGACTTTATACTGTTCCCCTTGTGCCATCAGACTGAACTGGTGTTTCGATCGATGCAGTTTGATTTTAACATCGACTTTACTGAGCAAAAAGCGATCTTGAAAGAAGAGATCGACATGAAGTGGTCCTTGGAGGTCAATCTCGCCACGGGTCATGTTGGCACGCTTGACTAACCCCTCGTTCGCGTCTGGATTGTCGCCTGCTGGGTAAGGATCGACCAGGTGAAGTTTTCCTGGCGTGTCTTGATAGAACAGGGAAGAGGTCAGTTGTGACTGTTTTGCTTCAGAACCAAAGTTCAGCAGGGTTTCCAGGTAGGCGCGATAGGGGTAACAGTTTGTAGCGTCGGTTATCAGCTTTCCTCCAAGAGACACGTCTACCTGTTGAAATAACGACTGCAACCACAGATTGACGGGTCCCACCTTCGCGTCTCCTGGTAGGTCGGCACCGTTGGGTCGAACGATTTTGGCTCTCACGTATAGCTGAGTCTGGCTAAGGTCGGTGAATTCTTCCCCCGCCCCCGGAATGTCAAATTCTATCGGAGAAGACTCGGAAAGACTGGCCACCGGGTGATACTGAACCCATCTACTGTCCACAATGCTGGTCTGTGTTGGTGGCACTTCGAAAAGATCCAATTCCGATTTTGTGCAGGAGCACGACAGAGGATGGATGTGGTCCATGACGTGTATTTCTAGTTGAAGATATCAGGAGATGTACGTCCGCCTCGTGCGGTGTTTCTCTTGCGTCTGACTGCACGAAGTCGCGGCCCACGTTTTAAAACCACCTTTCCCTTAGTCGCCGCAGGGGCCTTCCGTCTCTTGTTCTGTAGTGACTGTGCCGACGGTGCCCTTGTCATCGCTCTTTTCTGTGGAGGACCACCGGATATCAGACGTTGACCAAATTCGTTAGCTCTTCGTTTGACAGCGCGTTTCACCCCCTGACCCTGCAAGACGTCTTGAGCCAAATCCACCCCACTCCTTAAAGCCTGCCTCCCCACATTTTTGACACCTCGTTTAAGGAGAGGTACGGCCGATCTAAGCAAACCGCGAAACACCCCGCCCAACCCGTATCCACGTTGCATGGGTCGTCCGTAGTACACGGGCAATTGTCCTCCTCGCTGTCCCGACATCTTAGGTGAAGTACGAAGACCGCCTTTGTCTGAAGTGAAGTGTTACCACCACTCGTCCTCGTTGGAATGGGACAGGATTGCCTAGCTCACTCCTTATATCCAATTCCAGTGTCTCGAATCGTTTCTTGGACAGGGGCATGTAGTGAGGTGTTGTAATGGAGAGAGCTATAATGTCCGCGTCATTTCCCTCCACCTTCACGATGCGCAAGAGCGGGACTTTTACACCCCCCACTAGACGATGCTGAACAACGTCTGAGTACACGTACAGGCAATGAAACCCCGCGTTGATGTCTGGTGGGTGGGGGGCCTGAGCCGTGTTTCCAACGATCGTGTTCTCTGGGTACCAACCAAGCTGTTTGGCTAAAGGTCCGATCAGTCTAACGGTTGCCGGGGCGAAATGCACTGACATGGGAGGCAGAGTCATAGACACGCGTTTCTTTATTGCATTGTAGCGAAACAGTTCGTGTTGTTTGAAGACCTCAAGATAGTTCTTTTTCACTTCCTCGTTTAGGACCTGTATGAGATGGTGGATATCCTTGTAGTAACCCGACGGTACCGTGATGAACTCTTGTTCGGTTCCATTGCCGTGTAGGTTCTCCGCGTCCTCTACAAGATAGAACGTTAGTGAATTTCCCCCTTCGGGAACGTTCATCCAGCTGTGAGGGTATTGAATTTCGGCAAGAGCTACCTCCCAATCCCCTGTCAGCTCGATAGAATGCGCCAATTTGGTCCTGTAGTTTGTTAGCGTGTTTTCAGGATAGATGTCCATGCTGCCGTCACTGGGGAGAGTGACGTAAAACGAATTAGCCATGGCGAGGTCCGTCTGTGCAATGGTCAACGTGTCGGTCTAGTGTTCGTATTTATTGTATCGGTATCATGTCTTCCTCTCTCACCCAGCTGTTAAATTTGCTAGGATAACCTTTCCACTTGACGAAGTATTCAGTCTTTTTACCCCGACGCCTCGTGTCCAGGATGTTTTCTACCTGGTAGACGTCGTCTTCTTTTTTGGTCACTTTCTGGAGCTCCTTTTCGTAAAACGTACCCTTCAATTCCTCTCCGTGGTAATCCTTGATGCGGTACACGGGAGGTCGTCTGGCGATTCGTTTAGATACGGTGAAAATCTCTGTGGTCCAATTTGGTGTATATCCCTTTTCAAGTCGCAATTTTGACTTGCTGAGTCGAACTAAATCCCCGACACTGAATTTGAACGGTGTCGCTTTGTGAAGGGTCGATGTGTCTCCCTCTCCGTAAAGAGTATGCCAGACGAGTCCTTCGTTTTTGTCGTTGACGTCGACCGGAGCCGCCTTGATACTGCGATGGTATGAACGATTATAGGACCAGACTAGCTGGTCTAGAATGTCGATGTAACAATGTGTGTTTTCTCCCGTAAAGTATTTCCACATTCTCGTCTTCAGTGTGCGGTTGAACCTTTCTACCACGCTAGCTTTGGTTTCAACGTTAAACGTGGTGAAGAATTCGATGTCTTCTTTCTTCAGAAATGACTGGAAGTGTCGATTTAGAAACTCGGTTCCCTGATCTGTCTGTAAGCACCTGGGTTTTCGCCCGTCCTCTGAAAGGATGACCTCAAAAGCTTTCACCAAGGTGGCTCCCTTCTTGTCTTTGATGGGGACGACCCACGCATACTTCGACAGGATGTCGATACACGTGAGAAGGTAGCGGTATCCGTCGTTGTGTCTCGAGACAGAGGACATGTCGACGAGGTCGGCCTGCAACTGGTCATCTTTTCCTCCGACTATAACTCGGTTTCTTTGGAATCGGCGCCTGATTGGTTTATGTAAGGTGTATGTGTCTTGAGAGTGCAGCCAGGTCTTCACTTGTTTTCTGCTGATGCCGTGCTTCTTTCCGACGGTTCGGTGGAGCCGTCCCACTCCACTATACCCTGCAGGGTGTCTAGGGTCGTAGTAAACACCTCGGAGCACTTCGTCGCGTTTCCCGGATATGTTGGTCTGCTCTGCATTTTCTTTCCCTTCGCCTTTCCTCTCCTTTCTTCTCCTTTTTGAAGCCATCCAAACCCTCTGACGAATACAAATATCCGACCACCGACACACATACACGCGCAAAAAACGCGGTGTACGAATCCCCTAAAGATCTCACCAAAGGTCGAGATTTCTTGAAGACAACCCATGTGTGTTCTTTGTGACTGTCAAACTGAGACTGATCGTTTCGTTTTTGATATTAGCCTTTTTATGCAGATCTGTTAAAATGTGTTAAGCTGTGCTGAGCCATACATCACATGCACACGTATTACACAAACATACACAATAAAACACGACACACAGTTTAATCAAGTCTTTGTTTCGACGGTAGCTTTATTGTCTCAGATATGCTACTCCTCTAAGATCTTCGTGATGAGATCGTTGCTGGGATAGCCCTCGTGTTTCAGCACCGCTTCCAGCACTGCATCCATCTTCTGGCTGTGTGCCTCCAGAGCCTGCCACTGATCCGTGGACAAGTTGATCCCTTTCTTGCCGGGGAGGATTTTGTCAGAACCATCCTTCGGTCGGTAGAACTCTCGCAACGCCAAGACCGGTTTCCCTCTGAAGATCTCCACGATGGCGTATCGTAGATTCCCCAACCCAAAGCGACGAGGAGAGAACAGAGCACTGTCGTACGGCATGGCTGCGAACGTGCAGGAGAGCAGGGCTGCCGACACACCCGACATGTTCTGTTTGAGAACACGCCATTGATCTGGAGACAGAACGAGCCCTTTCTTACTGGCTCTCCACAAGTTCTTTTGTTCTGGGTACGGGCGATAAAACTGTCGCACACCCATCAGCGGTTTCCCCTTGAAACGACCAATCGTGGCGAAGACGTTTTCCCCTATGGGAAACCTGACTTCCAATCCGTCGGTCTCGTTGTTGTATTGGATGTTCGGTTTGGGAAGCGGGGCGTAGTCGGCAGAACAGCTCGGTTTCGTCTCGTTGTAGTACTGGACGTTCGGTTCAGGAGGCGATGCGTAGTCGGTTGAACGACTCGGTTTCGGGTCGCTGCGTTGCTGGATGTTCGGTCGAGGAGGCAGCCCGTAGTCGGTAGAACAGCTTGCGATCGAATAGCCCGTTGCCTCCGGCTGTTGCCTCCTGGGTCCGCCGTATAGCGGTGGTGTCTGCGTCGCTGCGTCCGCATATTGAGGTGTCTGAAGACCGTCGTACTGCCAATCCAACATATCCGATGCAGACATCTGTGAAGCCATCTTTCTCTCTCTCTCTCTCTCTCTCTCTCTCTCTCTCTCTCTCTGCGAAGACTCTTCTGGGTCTTTGACAAATCGTGAGTGAAGCCTGGTGAACTGCCCGGTCTTTATACATATCCTTTGTCTGAGCTAACCAATCGACGCCGAGCAAATGTCACTGTTCGTCACCTTTCGTGTGTTGACCAATCGCCGTATAGCACCGTGTTATGCCTAGCTGGTGATTGGACAAGACGTAATAACCACCTCCCCGCCATGGAACACACCAACTCGGCGACCTCCGCGCAGATCGCATCGTCCGTTGTATTTTTCGACTCGTGTAGTTTGATGTGTGTATCCACGGCAAAAAGCAGCCCGATGATGACACGTCCCCAGTTCAAACCATTTTCTTGTAGGACGCTTTCGAGAACGTTTGTCAACCGGTTAGAAACGTTTGTCGTGGTCGATGCAAAAGTGTCAACGAGATCTCGCCACTCCCGTGTCTTCGTTACATCGTCCGAAACTCGCGCAATCTTTCGACATATGGCTAGATTCTCCCGTCTCTGATATTTTGGAAACGACTCTGGAGCCTTTTCGTAAAGTAAGCGACGTATGATGTCTTCCGTTTGCACTTTCAGCACTTCCATACTACATACTGACATGTTTAAAGCGGTTCGATGTGCAGCTAATAGCATTCCTAGCACCCCCTTGCTTAATAAATGCCTCGTGATTAGCTTCATTAAACTACGTCATTACCTCATGACCCCATTCCCACGCCTCCCCAGCGAGCGCCTCCCCAAGTAGATTAGCGGCTCATCAAATCATTTCCTCACTCCTCCCCAGTCCTCACTCCTCCCCAGTTCTCACGCCTCCCCGATTCCCACGTCTTCCCTCAGCCTCCCCTCGACCTCCCCACACCTCCCCAAAAATGTTAGTCGTCCCGTCCCTCCTATACTACTTATGTCGTATGACCACCAAATTTTCAGAGGATGGTGTACTAGTGAAAATTTATCACATCTACAATTTTTATGTCGTTATGACGTAATATGACGTCATTAATGTGATTTTATTGGCCAGAACCGCCATCTTGGATTTTGGTCAATGACGTCATCAAATTGTTATTAACATTAGAAACCATGTGTAACTTGACATAAAACCCATAAAATTCTATTTTGAAACAAAAATTCCTAAATTTAGCAAAAATGTCTGTAAGAAACCCGTTGCCATGGCAATACAAAAATTATTATCTTATTTCAATGATACAGAATTGTTGCCAACAATATTCTAGAAAAAGTCATCAAGTTTTGCCATTCTAGCGCTAACCGTTCAGACGCTACGTGACATCAAAGTTGGCGCGGGCATTTTTAGCCCCCCCCCGGTCTAGATAGGGTTAAATAGCATTAGGATATCATGAAATAAAGACTTTACCAAAATTTTCGCGGCTGACTCCATCAATCTTGTTAACGAAATGTGGACCCGTCTACTCTTGGAACGTCAAAGACAATTGGGAACATTTCCTGTCATGATTGATGCTGAAATAAAACTTATAAAATACTGGCACCGGTTAGAAAATTTACCCGAAGACGCTCTACTCCACGAGGCATACAATATTTTACATTCCGCTGACTCTGACTGGGTAAATCATGTACACGACATTCTTAATTATAACGGTTTGGATATGTATGGACAAACCCTAGGTTGTATCACGTTGATATGTTTACAAATCAATTACGACGTCGTTTGCAGGATATATACATACAAGAAACCATACCTCTATTCAAAACAATTCAAAACTTTCTGTCTATTCGATGTTAAAAAAGAGATACGGACAAGAAATTACCTTTCTGAAATACTTAATTTTGAAGTTCGTAGATGGATTATAAAGATGAGAATTTGTAGCCATAAATTGAATATAGAATTAGGAAGATATGAAAAAAAACCCTCGACCAGAGGTTTTGTCCATTCTGTCCCTATGATATTGAAGACGAAAAACATTTTATTTTGGATTGTCCACTATATAACGATAAACTCACAAAGCTGTTCAACCTTCTCTCTGTTAGCTCAACAGAATTTGTCACATTTCATGCTATAGATAAATCTAATTTCATCCTAGAAGGTAATAACCCTTACTGTGTACAAATAGGTAAATATATCAAAGAATGTTTAGACCTTAGAACAAGTTCTATTAGTTGACTCATCTATTGTTTTGAACGTAGGTTGATTTGGTCTGTATAATCTACATGCAGTCTTAGACCTTACGAAAGTCGTTGTACATTCGTTGCGTCAATAAAGTTCCATATAATACGTTCCAGATAACTTGTGTCGCCCCCCCCCCCGTCTCTGTTAAGGGTACTCCTGTGAATCTTTAGTGGACGTCACGTTCCAAGAGTAGACGGGTCCATGCCGTGAACAAGGTTGAAGGAGTCAGCCGAATATTTGGGTAGGTCGCAGTTCATTCCGGTGTTGGAGATAAAGTTTTGTCTTTATTTCATAGTTCATTGTACAATGTACCAAACACAGCTAAACATTAGGATAGCTTTGAACAGTACAGAGCTAAACTTTTGATTCATGGCAAAAACAAGCGTCACGGAATCTTTGGAATCTTCCTCAGAAGTCAATTGGCTAATCACCTAGATCACGTGACATTACCGACATCAGCCATTGGTCGAAAGTGCCAGAGAGTCTACACCGCCTGTCTCTGTTGAGTGCTGCATGGATGGTGTGTCCCGGATGTAGTCAGCCTCCTTGATTCCTCTTAAGACGTCCAATCTTCTACGATATTTATTTGCTACTCGTCCAAATAACCAAGGTAATGTATGATATATCAAAATAATGTAATGGCTTACCAACAGTGACAGCATCTTCTCCGGTAGCATGTGGATGCGCTCATCCTCCCCAACGCGCAGGGTCACTTGACAGGACTCAAAGATCAGATCACATGTCACCGTGTCCCATCCATAGCCACCTGCAGCTGCAGCTGTTTAAAACGTTAAACAGACAACAAGCTTTAACAGACGACAAGCTTAAACAGACGACGAGCTTAAACGTACGACGAGCTTGCTGAAACAGACGACGGGCTGGCTGAAACAGACAACGAGCTTGCTAAAACAGACGACGAGCTAATAAACAGACGACGAGCTTGCTGAAACAGACGACGAGCTGAAACAGACAACGAGCTGGCTGAAACAGACAACGAGCTTAAACAGACGACGAGCGTAAACAGACGACGAGCGTAAACAGACGACGAGCGTAAACAGACGACGAGCTAGCTGAAACAGACGACGAGCTGGGGTTATTGGAAAAAGGAGTCCAGTCCGATTGGCGGAAAAAGCAGTCCAGTCCGATTTTGGGGTGGAAAAAGCAGTCCGGTGGTTTCTACGAAATTTTACGAAAGACCATAGGCACAATTTTTTCTTGTTTGTGTACTTCTAGTTTCTATGGGTACTTCTAATTTCTATGGGTACTTCGAGTTTCTATGACTATTTAGAGTTTGTATGGGAACTTGAATTAGCATATATATGACTCACTATATGCCGCCTTAACCCATAATTCAGGCAGCCTTGGGTGAGGAATAGCGGACAAACGATTTACACCTCTTGGGACCACCGAAAAGTAGTTTCTATACATACAGGTCGCCTATCCACAATAAACAAAAGTTAATTATTAAGGGATTCTTTCTTACAATTGTACTTCCGGTACTTACATGCTTGTCGGTGTAATGCAAAGTCTGCCATACGTGGCTTTAGCAGGGGCCGGCTGGATGTTGGGCAGCTGGCAACCGTAAAGAGATTTAATCAGGCTACTTGCAAGCAGGATCGGCCCTGGAAATCTCGTCAGTTGACCGTTTCTTCTTTTGACTAATTATTATTACTTATATGTAAGTAATAATCCGGAGGCATGATGATGATATGTAAGTTACAAACTCTAAGTTCCCATACAAACTCTAAGTACTCATAGAAACTCTAAATTCCCATACAAACTCTAATTACTCATACCTCTAAGTACCCATAGAAACTCGAAGTACTCATAGAAATTCGAAGTACTCATAGAAACTCGAAGTACCCATAGAAACTAGAAGTACACACACAAGACAAAATTATGCCTGTGGTCGTTCGTAAAATTTCGTAGAAACCACCGGACTGCTTTTTCCACCCCAAAATCGGACTGGACTGCTTTTTCCGCCAATCGGACTGGACTCCTTTTTCCATTAACCCGACGAGCTGAAACAGACGACGCGCTTGCTGAAACAGACGACGATCTGGCTGAAACAGCGAAGCGACGCTCCCTCTCCAGGGCTGGAAACCCTAGATCGTTGTGTAGTGTACGGTCCCTTCTGAGTGAAACCAGATGCTGTCTATGGCCCTGTTCAGACAGTCCGGAATGTTGCCTAATCTGGCAACATCCCCCTAGCCAATCAGAGAGCGCCCCCGCGCCATGACGTCATTTTCGCGCGGCTGAGACCCAAGCCAAGTTTCCGGGGGATTCCACTCTTTTTTTCGTGAATTTTGGGCTGTACGCCTGCGTGAAGACCAATTCAAAGGTTAAAATACGTCACATCCACGTACCCATAGCCCGGGGAAGCCATATTGTCCGTGTTTTTGCTCGAAAAACCTCCCAAAAATCACATATTCCGGCCGCGATGCCCGCTAAATAGGCAGGTAAGACACACATTTGCACATTTTTGCACTCATTTTAGCGGCCTAACTTGGCATTTTCCCGGAATTTGTCGCAGTTTTGAACAATTTTCCGTGGTTGTTTGTGGTGTTCCTGATCGATAGCGCCATGTTGTTTACGTGTACAACAACCTGGAGAAAATGTTCGCGTTTTAGAAATTGGGACGTTTTGCATCTCGGAGCTGCCTTCCGCTATGTTTTTAAATGCAGAATGGCACGGCCTCGGCTAGCTTTCGTGGACGTAAAATGCTCTTATTCGCAAGACGCAACATTTCTAAGCACAATAAATAATTTTCCTGAGTAGGTAATAGCCTCTTGCATCATTTCATGTGATTTTCAGTTACGGTTTGTGGCTCATAAAAATTGTTCGCGTTTTTAAACTTTGGAAATGCCACGTCGGGAGTGCGAATACTAGTATACAGTAGGGGTTGGGGAGGGGGGCGTTCGTGTGCGGAGATTCGCGATTGAGCCGTTGTTGAGTGTCGATGCACTGTAATGTTGCTATCAATTCATAATTCATATCCTTGATATATATCATAAGTTCTCGACCTTTTTTTTTCGACATTTTAACCGAAATTTCCGCATTACGTGTTGTGGATATGGGGGGGGGGCAGGATGTATGTGAAATGGTAGCTTACATGCATACTGTTTAAGTACTAGTATATCATTTAATTTATATACATGTGTACAAATACATCAGACATTCATATAAACATGTATCTGGATTCAGTTTATTATCACATGGCATGTATGATCTTTGAGGCTTGCTCTTTCCAAGAATGGAAATACATGATGTAACAAGTTAGTACATTTGCAGCCTTGCAGGACATACCTCTGTACTGCACTTAATAATGTCCAAAAGAAAATCTAATCTTACCTTACCTTGTTTACCAGTTGCAGGGTGCCCACATAAAGGAAGTACGGAGAACTCGCAGGATGTGCATTTGTCCACATGACATGGGTGCTGGGAAATTTGTGTAGGCAATATGGGTACCGGTAACTCCTATGGTAGATATTTCCTATACTGCAACAGCTGCCACAATTTCTTTTTTATCAATGATGTTTCTTTACAGTTTACTAAAGTATTTTCATTGTATGCATGTATGTTGGTAGGTCTGTTTATAAAAATGACAGGAGTACTGAGACTATGGTAGAAAAGACTCACCATCACAAGAAATGTAAATAAATGATGTGGAATGATGAATCGCAAAGTACAACAAAGAATGATCTCAGTTATTGTTACAGTATGAATAACTATGGCCAGTTTCATACCGTTACAATGTCTGGTATATCAGAGTTTGCAGCTATTTGATGGCAATAATAGTGACATTCAAGAAGATGTTACGAATATTTGGTAGAATGATTATGTATGTTGTAATTTTACTCTCAACATTACTAGTACTGGTATACTGGTCATATTTTGTATGCTGAATTAAACTAATGTTTGTACTCTGACATATTTCTTCACCTGTTTCTTCAGAAGTGCATGTATACACAAAGATATATTTTTCAATTTTTCACCTTTATCATGCTTTTCTTGTACTTTCTGATAGCCCAAACCGAGCTTCTACAGTTCTAAATCTTGCTAAAGACATGATGACTCCTTTCTTCTACACTGTATGGTGGGATTTGAGATATAATTGCATAACTAGTACTTTTGGCATATTTACATCCTGCCAGCCATGGGAAGCTAAACTATTTTCTCCCCAAACATTGCATACACCTCACTGACCACAGGTAGAAAAGGATGTTCTTTACTTTGGTTCTGTTGTGATGACATACTTGTAACTATCTTCTCCTATGTTGTAGATTTAGTGCTTTAGTGATTTATTACCTATTCAACTTAGAAATAGTGTCTTCAAACCAACTATCACCTTTGATATGTAAGAGACCAAAAAAATTGTGCATGGTAAATGACTTCAACTTGTCTATTGTGTACTTTAATAATGCACAAGATCTAAAAATATGGGCTATCTCTTGCACACAAAGAGCAAGATATGCCACAGAGGGAGTTTTAATAGGCAATTTTTTGTTGTAAATCTATACTTTTGTACACCAAAGTCAATTGTTCACAATGATTTTGTTGTTTCTCGTATTTTGGATACATTGGCTGCATCATACATAATTTGTACCGCAAAGTACAACAATAAAACATTTGCTGTAAAGTCTAAAGACCTTCCAAAACTGAAAACCCCGACCCAGATTTTTCTTTTCAATTGCTTGCATCCCGGATGTTCAACTCTTTTGCGTTTTGAGACCTCTGGTAACCCGATTTGTGTTACTGTATTTCTCTTTAGGTAGAACAGAGAAAACCCCGTCGTTTGTTATCGAATCCAGGCGATCTGACCATAAACAAGACGATGTGCTCGTAACGCTGAGCACTGAGATAGGAATTAGCAACGTATTACTAGTACGTAGATACGATCTACTTAAGTATTCCAAGCCCCTAACATCTTAACACATCCGTCATTAGAAACAGGTAAGTATTACAAGAGGTAGCCGACCCAAAAGTTGGAACTTCAGCGCCGGAGGTGCGTGTAAGTGTGCTGACAGAGGTGAGTGGACGTCGTGCTTGAGCCAGTGTTCGTGGTGTTTCTCGTAACAGACTGCTTATACACGGCTAGTTGAAAGTATGCAGATAATACCAAACTATCGGTTTTTAAGGACGCAAACGATTTCCAGTTCCTGCTCAAAGTGTGGGAAGTGAAAAATAGGCGAGATCCAGGCGGGCGCTGACTTTCGCGGGAATCGTCGCCATCTTGATTTTGAGGTCAAAATTATGGGTCACCGGTAGTGCGCGTGCGCACAGTAGCGAGTGACGCCATCTTGCATGTTGCCTAATCTGGCAACATTCCGGACTGTCAGACGGAATCAGTGAAAGCGCCTTACATGTGTTGATGATATGAATGATATGAATATTAGACATCCAGGTAAACAATACTCATAGGAAATTCAAACTCCTACTACTGGATAAGTTATGGAGATAATGCCCGGACGTATCAAGTGACATTCACAACTCTTCTTCAGCGTCACTAATGAACTAACGTTAACAGAACACGATAAAGCACAATTAAGCTACTCTCCATTTCTAAACAGCCGTCACTATCTTCCTGCTATAAACCCCATCAGGGGTCGTTCGGTTTATAGCACCTTCGGGGTGCCCATCAAAGAATGACACTCTTTTGTCTGTCAGATTATAACACTTTTCACATCGAATCGGAAAATGTGCTTGCCTGCCTGGCTGTCTGTTTACTGTACTGGTCGTAATGAACTGAACAATTTCGCCTTTCTGACTTTCCACCTCCATGCTTTCTACAACTTTCCACCACACAATAAGTTAGTTGCTGGAATTTTGCGATCCTTCCGCCTTGTATTAATTAGTATGTGTAGGTTTGTTGTGTGTGTACGTGCGCTCGCGCCTTATTGGTCAAGTACTGATGACGTTAGAGGTAATGCTTTCAAAAACTTGTGACCAACGACAGCCTTTTTATTAGCTCTAGACGTCTAGTTCTAGACGATATGATAAATAGCACCAATAACCAGACAAACATATCCTACTGTTGGAAATGTCTATGCTATTATGTTGTCATTGTTTAACACAATGTGCCTGTATTCCGTTATTACTCTTACCGATGTAACATTGATGCCAGGACCTAATGATGCAAGTTTTAAGACTTAATTCAGGCAAAATCAAGACACCGTCTGTACAGGACCATATAGGCATTAGCTGTATTTATTTCAGTATCAAAAGCAAAAATGCATCATAAAATTGACGATCATTTTAGTGTTCATAATTGGTAAGCAACTGTCCAGATGTCATTAGTTTGCGAGTATAAAGAAATATATTTACATGGATCAAGGACATGGACATCGTGCGTATCGTAGTCTTTTTCTGGTCCTGATTAATGACACAAGTTTTAAGACTTTATGCAGGCAAATCAAGAAACCGTCTGTACAGGACCATATACTTTAGGCATTAGCTGTATTCATATTCAAGATGGCGGACGAGTACGGTCACGCGTCATGCGCTCTCCGCACCTGATTTACTAAGAAGGTATATATGTCTACATGGAGCGAGTTATTTTGAACGTATCATAGTACTGTTTTATTGTAACGTTCATTCTATAGTTTCTGAGATTTCATATCGTAAAAACGACCAACGAATCGGGAAACATGTTAGGCGCCGAGTCGAAGACGCCAAAGTCAACAAAGCCGTGGAATGTCAACTTAGGGAAAATCCCGCTGGACGAATCCCTAACGTTCGACTACGAGGACGAGGCGAAGACCAAAATGTGCGGGGTTAAACTTCGATCTAACGAACTGGACAAATGGATAC